GCTGGCAGCAGAAGGCGGGGAGAGGTGTGGGCTTAGCACTGGCCAATAGAAGGATCCTCTAGTGGGGAACTCCCAGAGATCTGTGGATCGTAAATCTGCTGAATTTCAAAAGCAGAAAGCAGGAAATGTGTTCACTCAATGCACTTTGGTATTCTTATCGGCCTTTTCACTTTTTGTGACTTTGTGGGGCTAAATTCCTTAGTAAATAGGGGCTTGAGATAACATTACTTACCCTTTATAATGTTTTTGAAATACAGTATTTAAATATATAATTAATCAAGGTAATTGTATATACTAAAACTTACTACATACCTTTTGAGCACTGTAAATTTTAGAAGGCTTAATAAAGTGGGAATGCAATAATGACATTGGATTTATTGGCATAGGATCAGTGTGTCTGTTGGCATAGGATTGTGGGATTTTTTTCTTTTTTATTTGTTGTTGTTTCTCATTAATCCTTCATTCTCCTTTGTTAGGGTGAAAGTTAAATTGCTTATCTCTAACCTTGCATTATGCTTGTAATAGAAGAAGAAATAATTCACTCAAATAGTACATTTGATAGAGATATTCATATACAACACAGTGATAATTGTGTGTGTGTTTCCCTTTATTTTATTGTTACTTTTAAGGAAAAGAATAATGATTTGAGCATCTTCCTTTCCCAAAGGAGCTATATAATATTTATACTAGAAGAATAAGATACACTTCTTTCCAGAAAAATACTCAAGGGTTGGTAAAAAGTGAACTCCTTTTAATTGTACTTTTATAGTAATTTGTCAGTCATTAACAGTTGAGGAAAATGTTCCTGATAAAGTGCCCTGTGGATGTGTAAAAGAAAAGCAAGAAGCAGTAGTACTGAAAAATAGTCACAAAATGGAGCATTCATGGAAAAGAGAGTGTTGACAGACTCATTAGTATATAGAGCCTAAAGCCTGTTAATATTACCAAATAAATAAGAAAAATGTATCATCGTCTCAGGTGCTGGATGAATAAACAAAAAAATCACTGAGATGGAAAGAAAGAATATTCAGTGGTGATGCCATCAAATATGCAACATGCCTTATATTAAAATTTTTCCAAGTTGTTGTTAGTAATTACTAGGAAGAAGCTAATAAAAGCATGTGCTTAACATAAGAAATATATTGTTGAGTGTTAAGTGAAATTTTAGAAAATTACCTATACTTTATCACAAAGCAATTGGTTTCATTTCTCTTGTTTCGTTCTAGTCTTTATTCATGTATGATTCATATTTTTACATATTTTTAAAAGATTTTTATTGGGGAGTTGGGGAAAGGGGAACAGACAAGTTGCTATTGTTTTGTTCTTGAATCTAGTTGTGGAGGACGTTGCTTCACTAGCCCAAGTTGGCACCATCATTGTGATCTTCCGGGGTGAGGCACATCAGTCGCTGGATTCTGGATGGCCGCTCACTGCGGCTGCTAGCCGCTCATGCTGGCTGCTGGCTACACACGGTAGCCCATGGCGACCCATTGCCACAGGGGCTGCAGCCTACGCCGTCACCAGCGACCCACTGCAGCCCAGCTCCAGGTTGAGCTGCTGTTCAGCATCTTAGCTGTGGTGTGGAGGGCAGTATCACTGGCCCTCATATGTGGGATCCAAACCGGGGCCCCCTGGCGTCCCAAGCCAGTTCTTCACCATTGCGCCACTAGGCCGGCCCTACATAATTTAAATCATGGTATACTTACAAATTTATATTTTATACTTTTTGCTTTGTAGTTCCTAAAGTTTTTACACTGCTGTAGTTTTCATATTTCATTTAAGAATTTCCTACAGACTAGTTCATCACATATGCTGTTGTTAGATTTAGGCTATTTATAATTATAAATAGCACTCCATTACACATTTTGTACATGTAACTCTTTTTTGCTAATCATTTATGTTCCTAGGATATTGGGTCATCAGGAAAGTCATGACGTATTTTTCAATGTTTTTGAATGCAAAAATGCATCATGACTTTCCTGATGACCCAATAGATTCCTAGGGGTCAGGCAGTGGGTATACATATTTTCATGAATGTTGAAGTGTATTGCCAAAATTATTTTTGAAATGGATCATGTCACTTTATTGTGCATCTAAAAATGAATAAGTGCACTAGTTTCAAGTAGTAATTGCTGTCCTTAGGTTTTATAATTTTTTAATGCTAACTTATTGGGTGTAAAATTATATCTTGTTATTTTCATTTACATTTCTTTTGATAGTTGGCAAGAAATTGAATGTTTTCTGTGATTCGGTTTTTTATTTATATTTCCTATATTGTGACTTATTTGTTAATTTCCTTAATCTACTCATCTGTTAGATCTTGATGATGAACTTATAGATGGTGAGTTTTATATCTGTTTTAAGATATTAAGACTTTGCATATTTGTTGCAAATATTTAACATTTTTTCTTTTGAATTTTTAAATTTTTTTGCAAAGGAGTCTTAAAAAGTAAAAGCTAATTTTTATATACTATAAAGATACATACACTTTTCAGTAACTGTTCCTGATTTAACAGTTTGGGCCTGAGATACTTTTAATGGGGACAAGTATATTTGGTTTCCATGCTTAGTTGTGTTTTGGTTTTTTAAAAGATTTTTATTGGGGAATTGGGGGATGGGAACAGTGCTAGGGAATTGGGGGAAGGGGAACAGACAAGTTGTCGTTTTGTTCTTCAGTCTAGTTGTGGAGGACGTTGCTTTACTGACCCAAGTTGGCACCATCATTGCGCTCTTCCTGGGTGAGGCAGATCAGTCGCTGGCTTCTGGATGGCTGCTCACTGCAGCTGCTGGCCGCTCACGCTGGCTGCTGGCTACACACGGTAGCCCATGGCAACCCACTGCCACAGGGGCTGCAGCCTACACCGTCGCCGGTGACTCACGGCAGCCCAGCTCCAGGTTGAGCTGTTGTTCAGCATCTTAGCTGTAGAGGGCAGTGTCACTGGCCCTCATATGTGGGATCCAAACCGGGGCTCTCTGGCGTCCCAAGCCAGTTCTTAAACCATTGCGCCACTCGGCCGGCCCTAGTTGTGTTTCTTTAGACATTGAGAAACTTAGATATTTGCTGGATAAATAACTAGATTTCTGATAGGTACTTACCTCTCCCCTCTTTCACTGCTTTTTTTTCTCTTTCTATCTCTAGCTCCTCTTCTCAAAGTTGCTCTTCTGATTTTTTTCTTCCTGCTGATGTAGGATTTTTTTTATTATTATTTTTATACTTCAAGCAGTGGTTTGCAACCAGAGGGAGTTCTTCCCATCCCCAGAAGACGTTTGACAGTGTCTGGAGATATTTTTGCTTTGCTGCAACTTGGTGGTACCTGGGGTATTGCTAGCATCTAGTGGGTAAAGGCCAGGGATGCTACTGAACACCTTACAATAGACAGATAACACCCCCATCATGAAGAATCATTAGGCCCAAGGTGCCAGTAGTTCTGAGGTTGAGAAACCCTGCCTTAAAGTAACAATTTTTTCCTCTATCCATTTGCAAAGTTTAGATAGAAAAATAGCAAAGCAGAAATAATGGTTAATTGTTTCAAGGAACTCAGCAGTAAGAAATGTTTGATTGGAGAAGGAATATTACTAAAGTCCCAAAGTTATGATACATGCTCTCCCCAACTTAGAATTGTGGACATTTCTAGAGATTGGGATGGGGAGCAGTTGCCAAAAAGGAATCCTCTTACCTGATACTGATGCTTATGGACTTTCTACCATTATTTATTCAGCATCTCTCAGTGTTACATAAATACTCAGATCTCTAATGTGTTCTTATGATTTGAATTCAGAGTTTTGTTGATTTTGCTATTCATCATTCTTTTTTTTTTTTGTCAGTTTAAAATGGCCAGTGGATCTACTTTGGCCTGAAAAAAGACTATATTGCTCTTAAGACTAGATCACTGAAAGGTTTTATGTTTTTGATTGTGACATGGTTCTGATGTACTAACCTAGCTAAAACTCAAGCCTTGCATTAATTTTGCCTTGCATCAACACAAAGCAATTATCATTTGTATTATATTATTTATGCACTGTGGTAAAAAGTGCTTCAAGGTGACTTTGAACTTATAGGGATCTTATGTTTTGATTAAAATAAAATGTGTGGGATGTTAAATATCTTCAGTGTATAAGGGAAGACTGGAGGAATTTCACAGAGCAAGTGAGTACTTGTAAATCCTTACATGGGGATCAGGATTTCTATTTGAAGGAAGTGAACAGAATCCAAGTGGTATTTGAAAGATAATTGTGGAGACTTTTTTTTCTGGCTCCCTTTTAAGAAAATTAACTACAAGGCAAACACACACACACACACACACACCAAAACAAAACAAAACAAAACAAAATGGAGGCAAATCTAAGATGACATTGTAGGAGATGAAGCCTCAAAGTTCATTGGTATCAAGAGGGAGAGACTACATTTTCAGAAACCAAAAAAGGGGAGAACCTATAGACAAGCCTACAAAGAATTGTTTGTTCGGGAGAACCTATGTGGTATAGCTTTTTTTCTCTTTCCACTGTATAAATTCTCTTATATTCCTCTTCAATCTTTAGGGACAGCTGTCTATGGGGAGGATGGGTGTGAGGAGGTAGGACAGGAGTTCATAAAATCCCCTATATAATTTTTTAAGATGTATTATATAATACTTAACCAAGTACAGTCTTTGTTCTAAAATTCTTCATGTTATATAAGATTTAACTATATATTTAAAGACAGTTTCTTTGACTGTAGTGTACCACAAAAGGCAAAATGGGAATGTACTTGAGAAACCATAGTAAGGCAAACAGAAAATCAAACTTCTGAGATTTAAAAGAAGAGTGTTGGTGCTTTGCGGTAGTCAAGTTGAGTTCATAAAATCATGAAATGTGTAATGCAATTTAGACTTCTCACAGGGTAGAAATGTTGTGGTGTCTGTACCCTGTTTTATTTCATCTTAATATTCATGATTTAACTTCACAAAGTAGGTTTCACTTTTAGGTTTTAAGAAGTGAATCTTCTACTTTATGTTTTCCAGTGAATATCACCTCTGCCAGGCAATTAACGGGATGCGGTCGCTTCAGCCATATTTTTCCTTCATCTGCTTACCAGCATATTAAGATGCATAAGAGAATTCTGGGGCACTTGTCGTCAGTGTACTGTGTAGCATTTGACCGAAGTGGGAGAAGAATTTTTACAGTGAGTTTAAAATTTATGCTACTGTAACATAGTGGGTTGTTGGAAAAGTCGTGCCATATTTTGTGTATGTTTTTCAAAGGTCATTTACTTATATAAAGAACAAAGATCAATCAATGATATATTGCCCGATTTGTTTGATAACCTTTTGCCATCTTTCAGTGAGCTTCATAATCCCTTGTTCTTGGAAGGACCTGTCTTTTTTTGTGAAAAACTGAACAAGGTGCTGTTTTACAGCCTCATCTGAATTGAATGTTATACCCCTCAAGGAGTATTGAAGAGAGCGAAACAAATGGAAGTCTGACAGCGCAAGGTCAGGTGAAAATGGTGGATGTGGCAACACATCCCATCCAAGCTCCATTAATTTTTGACGGGTGATCAAACGTGTGTGGTCTCGCGTTGTTGTGATGAAACACAACTCCTTTACAATTAACAAGCTCTGGACATTTCTGGATGATAGATTTGTTCAAACTGTCCAATTGCTGACAGTACACATTTGAATTGATTGTTTGGTTCCTTGGTGGGAGCTCGAAAAACACGACACCTTTAAAATTCCACCACACTGAGAGCATAACCTTCCTCTGATGAATGTCTGCGTTCGATGTTGTTTGAGGCGGATCATCACGTCGGGACCAAGACCGTTTACACACTGCATTGTTGTAAAAAATCCACTTCTCATCACCAGTTATCAGTCGCTTCAAAAAAGGATCGTTTTCCTCACGTTTAATGAGCATATTGCAGATGTTTATATGCGCCGACAAATGAACTTCTTTGAGTTCATGCAGAACCCACATATCGAGCTTGCTTACATGTCCCAGCTTCTTCAGGTGGTTGTGAACGTTTGAATGATGGATGTTCAATGTTTCTGCATCTCTCGTGTCATGTAACATGGCTTTGATGTGATCAATGCTTTTATTTTGTCTTCATCAACCTCGATGGGCCTCCCTGATGGAGGAACATCGTTGAGATCAAAATCACCAGCACGGAATTTCCTGAACCATCGTCGGCACTGACGTTCTTGTAGAGAATTGTCACCATAAACTTTATGCAACTTTTCACAAGCTTCACGTGTGTTCTTCCCTTTGTAGAAGTAAAACAGTAAAATATGGCAAAAATGTACAGTTTGGTCTACCATCTTCAACTTGTAAAATCTTCAAAACTCAACCAAATCACTCAATTTTTTTAGAATGAAGCTAGAACTGTCAGCTGTCAAATGACATAGCAATAACATAAATGTGAATGACTAGTACTTCCAAAAATGAACTAGTGCCATCTGTTGCAAACATGTGTAATGACTTTTCCAATAACCCAACATTAGAGATTTACAACAATTGAAACTAGACTTCATAGCGGCATTGAATTATGCTTTGTAAAAAGTTTATCCTCTTTAGACACATAAATGCAGAAAAGATGAGTGGAAATTGGAAATATTTTCTCATTCTATATAAGAAAATGGGTAAACTATAATGTCCTCTATCTTTAGGGAAATAAATATTTATTAATATGTATTTTCCATTTGTCACTTAGCATAGTCTGTGCCAGTTCTGCTTAATTAATGATTATGTTATCCTTATGGTCAAATAATTAAACTACACTACACAGTCAGTAATGAAGATTACAGTTACTGTGTATATATTTCTTTGATTTTAGTAGTAATTATTTTTAAAATTGGGTTTTCATTAACCAGATAATACTGTGTGTTTTTGAGTACAAAATAGCACACTAATATTTTAGAAAAAATATTCAAGCAATTAAGAAAAAAAGGCTGTCAGGCCTAAGGAAAGAATGAATGGCAGAGATACTTAATGCTAAATCACATAAATGTGAGTTAAAAATGTTTTGAGTTGTCAGGATTGGTAGTAGTTTTGAGGAGCTCTTCACAAATATTATTGTCAGTTTGGACAGTGCTGTGGCAATGCTATCATTTGGAAAGCATTTATATTTGCTATTGGATTCATATTATATGGAGAGAAATGACTAAAAAATAAAGGCTTATAAATAACTTAAAATCTGCCCTTGTGTTTCCGGCTTTTAGTAGGGTGGTGAATTTCAGCTTCATTGTAAATCTCCTTTCCTTTTGTGTTATGATAGGGTTCAGATGACTGTTTGGTGAAAATTTGGGCAACAGATGATGGACGCCTCCTTGCTACACTTCGAGGGCACTCTGCTGAAATTTCTGACATGGCTGTTAACTATGAAAACACTCTTATTGCCGCAGGCAGCTGTGATAAAGTTGTAAGAGTGTGGTGTCTTCGAACTTGTGCACCAGTTGCAGTCCTTCAGGGACATTCAGCTTCTATTACTTCCATACAGGTGAGAAAAATGAAAAAATACCTCTAATATATGTTAAGAAGGATAAGAATGCTCTTGTTTGTTTGTTTTATATTGTGTAGGTAATATAAAGAATGGCAACAGAAAAACATTGATCTCTTAAGGCCTTTGTCAGGCAGGTATTTTTTAAAGTTCCTTTTTCATATAAATCTATTCTCGTTAGAAATATGTAAAAAATTCATTGAAAAGGTTTTTCAAATACAGTGTGAGACATCCTATTTATCTCACTCATATTTGTGAAGAAGGGAGAAGCTTGTAAAAATGCCTTAAGGAGCAATACCTGTTAGTCAGGATATAAGCAGGTTCTAACTTGAATATTGGCATACTTTGTGTTAATATTTAATCCAAGATGCTTGTCAGTCAGATTTAGACAGAGCTAGAGGAAGATGGATAGGGAAGTTTAATGTTAGGGAAATTTTTATTCTTAGTTTCAGTGATTTCCTATTTCAACTTGATGTTTGACATACAGTACACTGACTTCTTTAAAATACTTGTTCATATAGTGTTTTTACCAGATGTTGGTAGTGAAAGTCCTGGATACTCACAAAAGAACTTGTATTTAATAAAACTAAGATAAACTGTGGTCCTCTTCTTCGTATTGAGAGCAAAACAGAGGAATCCTTCTGAAACGGTCTTTTATACTTTGGTTAAGGATATCACTTTGTGGACAAGAGAATTACTCCCATTTACTTTTCTTTGTTCTTTAGTTGCTAATAAGTATGCCAGTCATTCTTATGTGTGTTATTTAAGTAATATATTACCTGTTTATGAGGAGCTAGCAAGGATTGCGTTCTTTGGATTTGAAAAAATCGGGCATGTTGGATTTGAGAAAATGTCATGTCAAATATTTGATCTGTTGAAATTATTTCATGGAATTTGTTTTGGGAGATTACCAGGTACTTGTTTTTCCCACCATCTGATCTGAAAGTATTGTTTCTGGAATGCAGAGATACTCTCATACAACATTTAAAAATTACTATTTGTTTATACTGAAAAATGTTTATGATACTATTTGGCTCCTTCATAGTTTCATTTGCTGGTTTCTATCTCATTTTGTTTACATGTGGGAGTGCCCTAGAGATCCACGGACCTCTTCTCTATCACATTCTTTCCCTTAGTGTTCTCATCAAATCTCATGGCTTTGAATTTCATCTGTAGGCTGATGACTTGCAAACTCATATTTCCATCTTGGGATCTTTTAGCTCTGTACTTGATTATTCAGCTACCCCTTGGCATCATCACATGAATGTCTACTAGGCATCTCAAAGTCAACATATTTAAAATTGAACTCCTGTCTTCTTTTTTCAGATATGCTCCTCCCAAAGCTTTCTCCATCTAAACATGGTGATTTCATCCTTCCAATTGCTCAGAGTAGTCACCCTGACTTTTTTCTTTGTCTTCTATCTCATATCTAACTTGTTAACAAATCATATTGGCTCTACCCTCAGAATATATCTATAATATGACAAATTCTCATGACCTCCATCATACTATTCATTTTAAACCACAAACATCTGTGATCTAGATTACTGAAATATACTTCTAACTGACCTTCCTGTGTCTTCCTTTCCCTGTCTCCTGCCCAAATCTAGCCTCTGCATAGCAGCCTGAGTGATTTTTAAATGGAAGTAAATCATGTCACTGCTGCTCAGAACCCTCAATAGCCTCCAAAGTCAGTGTTAAAGCCAAAGTCTTTAGAGTGACCCACAAGACCTTACTTAGATTCTCAGTCCCTTGCTCTCTTTGACTGATCTACTACTTCTTTCCTGTTCTCATTCTGCTTTAGGTGCTACCCTCTACTTTTTTAAACCACTCTAGTTACACTCCTGCCTTTGCTCTTGCTGTTTCATGTCTCTGGAATGGTCTTCCTTGAATATTCACATGGTTCATTTCCTCATTTTCTAAGCACTTTGTGCAAATGTTACTCTCTCAAAGAGACCCTTTCTGATCACCTTTCTACTCTAATATTGTAAATTGCAACCCCAGCACTCCGAATCTCTCCTTAGTTTCATTTTTATCTATACTAAAGATCACCATTTAGCACACATTCTATATGCTTTATTCTTTGCTAGTTGACTGTGTGTTAACATTGTGCTGTATTATCCTTTCAGTTTTTTTTTTAAATAAAATTAAGATAAAATGGTGTGATGTTAATAGTGGTTGCTTCTGGATAGTGGTATTATAAGTAGCATTTATTCTATTTTTCTATAATCTTCAATAATTATGTATTTGTATTCAGAAATTCACATATAAGTACTTTCATTTTTATAATCTCTAACATGATTCCTCATTTAAAAACAACCCAATTAAGGTATATTTATGGGTTATGGTTATATCACCCTTTGTGATTGAAAGCAATTTAAATGTAATGAGGATAATAAACGTTTTAGTGTCCCTTCAAACTTAATAATATTATACTATTTCATATTTGATTGCTCTTTCCTATATATCAGAGATTGGTACATTTATAGACCAGGTAATAAATACTTTAGACTTTGCAGGCTATTTGGTCTGTGTTGCAACTGTTTAACTCTGATATTGCAGTCCAAAATCAGCCACAGACAGTGTAAAGTGACTGTGCCAATAAAATTTTATTTACAGACACAGGGAGCAAGCTGGATTTAGCGAGTGGGCTGTAATTTGCATACTCCTGCTATACATTGTGGATTAAGTTTTCTCATGCAAACTTCTCTGTCTCAGAAGTGAAGATATAAGCATGCTACCTGAGTACTAGTTTCTTTACTATGTATCAACTGTTAATGGATAATATCATAATTTTTGTTTGATTTAATCTCTAGTCATTTGCAGTTCTGTGCTTCCAAACAAGAAAACTAAATAAATGACTTTTAATATCTATAATCATTATTTTCTTTTGATTTGAATTCAAAATTTATTTAAATTCTATGCACCTTGATCCTTAGTCTTCATCTCAACGAAAGTGTTTATTTATCTCTATTTGGGATTTTAAAACCTCATAGGCATGCTAGAGACAGGTTTGATTTTTTAACTTTTTCTTGTGTCTCAAGCATCAGGAGCCCAGTGTCTCTTCCCTTTGTGGTTTTTTTTCTGAGGACATGTAAAACACTGAGAATCCTACATGGTCCGTTCATGGTCCATCTGGGGTAGTAGTCATCCTTTAAATTGTCAACTTAAATATATTGTTTTAATCTGTTTTTTCCACAATGACATGAATGAGATTTGACCTAGTTTACACTATCCATTTAAAACTAATGCAAATGATTTAAATTTTAAAAGGATATCATACTTCATTGAAGTTAGTTTAATACAAAATATTAAAACTCATATACTTAGATATTAACTTCCTAATCATTGATTATAGATTTACTTTTGGTGCCCTAGTCATATGGAACTAAAAATTCTAGCAGATTTGTAATGGTTTAACGAGTAATGACTGAGTTTTTTCCTCCATTAAAAGGAGCGAAGTAATAAACTTATAGTATGATGTTGAATGATTTTTAAATAATTATTTTTAGGACTATAAATATTTTATCCTAAATTCAGTGACTGATTTTTTTTCTTTTTCTTTTGATATTTAAGATTTTCATAAGGTGTTCATTAATCTAGGATATTTAAATAACTAATATCTTGAAACTGAAATTCTTAAGTGATTTTATTTTAAGTATATTTGTTGAAGTGATTATAATTTTAGAACATGCTATGTTTAAAATAAGTTTGAATGTGAAAGCTTTCTATTTGAATTAGAATTTTTTTTTATATAGTTTTGTCCATCAACTAAAGGCACAACCAGATACCTCACTTCTACTGGTGCTGATGGAACAATCTGTTTCTGGCAATGGCATGTAAAAACAATGAAGTTTAGGTAAGTTAAGAATTTGGTTAGAAAGTTTGTGAAAAATCAAATACATTAATTTTTCTTTATTAACTTGAGAAATTCTTAATAGTGCATATAAGTATATTAATTTATGTGTGCATGTGTGTAGTAGGTATACTACACACTATTATAATAATATACTATTATAATAATATACTATTATGTGAAGTAGGTGTACATGCCCATACCTACTTCAAATGAATGTTGGAGATTTTAGAATAAAATTTTAATGAAACCAAGGTTGAAGAGACTATTTAATGTAGACACAAAATTTTTTGGTAATGAATATTTGTTTCTTTTTTTACTCTGGTAAGACTTTGAACTTCTCCTAATGGTAGTAGTAAGTGACATGGTAATTTGTCTGTAAAGCTATAAAAATAATACTGATATGATAAAGTGTATTTATAAAGTTAAATGCATTTTTAACCTGAATGATGAGGCTAGTACTTATTGACTGCCTAAATTTTGTGGTTTTTAAAATATTGATGCTAAATCTGTCAATATCCAGTGTGCTAAGATAAGATTCTTGCACATTAAATGCAAAATAAAAAACATTTTACTATTTTTTTAGAGATCGCCCAGTGAAATTTACTGAGAGATCCAGACCTGGAGTTCAGATATCTTGTTCATCTTTCAGTTCTGGTACGTGTAAAAGTTGAATGTTTTGAGTCTCCAAAATATTAAATGATCTAGTAGTAAAATATATATTTTTAAATTTTGTGGAGAAAAAAATGCCATGTTTGAGTGTTAATGGAATCATATAAAAAATGTGAATCATAACAAATGAACCTTTGTGAACTCTAATTAACATGTTATAGCTTTTGAGTTTTTTTCTTATTTGTAATTAATATGTTTTTATATAATGAAGCATTTAGTTGGTAAAAATAAAGCCTCTCTGCCCCCAGTTCAACATTAAAATTCCGCTCTGACTTTTCAGAGAACATGGACTGTGGCTCCATATGGAAGATACTTTTGCAGTGTGTAAATATTGGGTCGTCGGGAAAGTCATGACGTATTTTTCTATGTTTTTCAATGCAAAAATGCATCATGACTTTCCTGACGAACCAATAGTACTTTTCTACCGCTAAGAATCACATGCTAGTTAACCTTTTTTTTACTGTGGTAAATATAACATAAAATTTACCACTTTAAAGTATACAGTTCTATGACATTAGTTATATTCACATTGTTTTGCATACATTACCACGATCTATCTCTAGAATTTTTCTATCATCCCAAAAGCAGGTGGGTTTTTACAGTCAACCACTATAGCTACAATAAAGAAAATTGTAGACATAGGTCACTTTATAAATAATTTTGGAACATTGTGTTTTCACATAAAATATAAAGAATTCCTCAAGGCTTTGTGGTCCTTAATGTTTATGATCCAAAGTCCTGTATTTAATGTATAGTCAGTGGTATAATTAAAAGAAAATATTTCTCTTATTTTTGTTTAATTTACTTACTTTTCTCAGAAATTTTAGTATGTCTATAATGATTAGAAGATAACCTAGTGTTTCTTGAAGCTTTTTTATTAATATAAATTAGCATATAACTAAGGAAAGAGAGGGTTTTTAAAGTTCCTTGGTACAATGTTTGTTTGTTTGTTTTTTAACCCTCCAGGCGGAATGTTCATTACAACAGGTAGCACTGACCATGTGATTAGAATATATTATTTGGGTTCTGAGATCCCTGAGAAAATTGCTGAATTAGAGTCACATACGGTAAGAAAAACATGAAAAATTTAAATACGTTGCTTTCTTTTTTAACACCTCTGGGAAGTTGGTTTTATTTCTTATTTTCTAGTCTGTACCGAATTTAATATAGATTGGTGCTGAAACCTATATGATAACATACCTCTTTAGTAATATAGATCAGTGTGGAATTCTGGATTTAGTATGGTTATAATATATAATTCTATTTGACTATGGAAAAAGAAAAAGTATGTTTTACAGTAATAGTTAATGAAAATATTCTTTTAGCCTGCTGTATTTTATTAATTATGTAAGCTGTCTGTTACTTTAAAGTCTATACACTTATTAAAAGACAAATATGTCTTAGGAAAAAAAGTATTTTTGCTGAATTTAATTTGCTTATTGATCTTAGTATGACTGTTTTCAGAATGCCAGAGGGAGGTAATAAATGAATGAGAAAGAATTGAGGTGGGAGGATGAAGAAAATTGTTTTTGCAGGGGCCCAGCTAAGAAAAAAGTAATAAAACTTAAACATTCCCTGTTGAAATCAGTGGCAGCTGTTAGTCATTGAAAGTAAGCTATCCTTTCAGAACATCTAAAACTAATTATTACAACTGGCAGTGAGAATCCAGAATCTGTCAGACAAATACTAACATGAAGTCATGGAACAATGTGAATCACAGATACCTCTGAATATAAATGAAGACAGTTTAATAATTTTTAAAAATGAAAAATAAATAAAGATATTTAGTATTTGAGATTTTTATTAAAAATTAAGTTCAAAGGCAGTTCAATAATTGAGTGGTTTGGAGAATCTACAATATTTGAGGGTACATTTTTTTTAAGATTTTTATTGGGGAATTGGGGGGATGGGAACAGTGCTGGGGAATTGGAGGAAGGGGAACAGACAAGTTGCTGTCCTTTTGTTCTTCAGTCTAGTTGTGGAGGATGTTGCCCCACTGGCACAAGTTG